ATTCGACCTCCGAACTACCGGATACGTAGCACGTTTAAGTGGACTTGCAGCCTTGCCTTCAACTCGAAACTCATCATCTTGCCGTCATCTTAGAGGATAAGAGTCACATCGGTGACATGTAAAACCACCTTGGGCTTCTTAACTCAACTTGTATGTACAAGCAATTCCAATCTCCGCGAGGAGGCCTCCCTGTCAAGATGAGCTCCTCCCTTATTAGCGAGATGAGCTTCCCTTCCAGGGGAGCTCCACATTCCAACACTTGTCCATTAGACGACCACCTGGCGGTACATGTAACAAGACCGTTGACACGTAAGGTAGCATGCCAAGTAGCCTGTCTTGGGCCGACTTCATACATTGGGAACATGGAGGACAGATCGCCATAACGTGTCATAACTAAGCACCAGGTGGCCGATACATGCAACAGGTGGCTTAATTGGTAGCCCTAATTAGGCTCCAAGTGCCCAGGTCGGGTTCCAGGTGTCTCGACCAGATACCAAATGGCCTGAATCGGGCCACAGATGTTCGAGCCGAGCACTATGTGGCCGAGCTTGGGTAACAGGTGTCTTGACAGAGCCTCAGGTGTCCTACCCGAGCTCCACCAAGGCAAAGCAAGCTCTAGGTGTCTTAAGTTACGACAAGTGTCCTACATCTGTTTGACGCGTATATACTCTAACAAGCATCCCAAATCCTATATAAGGGGTAAGTTAGCATTCAATTCATACGTATGACTCACTAAATATCCAATTACCCTTTGGATAACTCGGCATAACTGACTTGACCGTCGGAGTTACAAGCCTAGGATATCACCCTGTGCCCTCTGACCTCGTTTTCCCTCTTACAGGACATGCCCGAGCTTCTCCAGGGACTTAGGCGCTTTTTGACAGCATCAGTTGGCCGTCAATTGGCGTCGTCTGTGTGAACTAGTGACAAAAAGCCATCTCCCCAGGCAATTTTTCTCTACCGGCATGTCTCTGACCTCGTTTTCCCTCTTACAGGACACGCTCGAGCTGCTCCAGGGACTTGCGCGCTTTTTGACGGCATCAGGTAGTATTGCCTTGTTGGGATTGAAAATGCATTGGAGAGTTACGAAAGGGAGTGGAAGTGTGGAACTCTAGCTTTTGCATATAGATAATAGATTTGATGTTTGGGAGTAAGCAATACAGTGCTAGGCATTCCTGAAAATATGATGTAGTAGAATGCCAAGGAGACAACATAGATGTTTGACAYAATTGCACACTGTAGGTCTTAGAGAAGAGGATAAATCTATGCTGCGTAGATGAGAATCAAGTGACCATTATGTACTAGTAATTCTTCATTTTTACTAGTTTATGTACTTTCTTGTATTAGTGTCTTTTACTCCCCCTAATTTAGGTGGCATCACATCCTTTCTCTTGCAAGGAATCACTAATATTGGGAAAATGAAAGTGTTGTTGCGTGGCCAATCAGTGGCAAAAAGATTTTCCACCCCATCATGGACTGAATCCAGATCCTAGCTACTATTTTGTTTTACTGGATTGCCATGCTGATATTAATCAACTACTTGATTCAGTGAAACACTTGGGTGAAAAGTTGGTTTGATAAGAATAAGTCAACCATTAGATTAGTTCACTGATTTAACTCTTTAGGATGGTTGACAATTTCTAGCTGTGCAGGGATATGTGGATCGACAGCAGTCATTTCGAACAGGTGCATTGGATCTTTGTCCCTAGATCGAACAATACTTGCCCTTATTTTCTTGCTAATGAACAATGTAGAATGATCAATGGTTTTTCTTCCCAAATGTTCATCAGTTGGTCTGTAATAGTTGGGCTATGCATCATAACTCAAGCGGGAGTATCACCTTTCTTTTATGAAATGATTTTGTAGTTACCCAAAAAAAGAAGATGATTTCTATAGGGGCAACCTCGATAAGCAAAAGCACCTATCGTTGTACACTTGACTTACGCATAAGGATGTCTCAGAATTGTAGGCAGTGGTTGGAGTGGTTTTCCTTTTAACATAGCTCTGAAGCTCAACTTTCGTATAATATTCAGATCATTTCTGTAAGAACTTGCCAATTCGTATTAATGTGTATTAAGTGTTAACCATCACAATTTGAAAATAATGAAAGCCCATTCGCCGTTGGTCATCATTCTCAAGAATGGATCCCACATGTTACTTCAGCAATAGGTAAGCACAAAAGACCAAAAAATAAAAATTGTAGGTCATGCTGAAGTGGCAAATTGTTTTCAAAATTTTGAAGCTTCTACCTTCCAAAATCTGAGGGTCCATTTGGTTTGTAGTTGGAATCGGAATCATAATGGTCCAATCCCATAGTTTGTTTGGTTCAGACAGGAATGAGAATGGAAATAAAAATCAGCAGGAATGAGACTTCATTTATAAGGGAGGGGCAGGAAATGACCATTCCATCAAATAGGGGGATGCCATTTCAGCAGGAATTAGAATAGGATTCTAATTCTGTCCAATCAAACAGTCAGAAACGGAATAGCCCATTTTTATTCCAATTTCAGATCCTTATTCTTGCAAACCAAATGGGGCATGAGTTTAGATCTGATGACCACAACACATTGCTGGTCACATTCACACAGCCACATATGACGAACATTGGCAAAATAAAACACAAGAAATATTCACAATGTGGCTGTATGGATTTGGCCAGCAACGTGTTGTGATCAGCAGATCCGGACTCAAAATCTGTGTCAATAGAAATTTTCTAAAATTTGAAATCAAAGACCACAATGGTAAACGCATTCTACTTTTGTGGTAGAAATTTGTTACGACTATAATGGAAAAAGCACCCTTTAATCTGTACAAGAGGAGGGTATTTGGTATCGTGGTATTTTTAAGTCACATATTTGAATTTAAACCATGATTTGTAAGAATTTCCATTATTCATACTCTTCTTTCTCAAGAAAATGAAAGAGTCCAAAGGACCAGCGTGGGGGGTGGTGTTCTCAGTTCGCCACCGTAACCACCACCATGGGCCATGCTTGACGCTCCTGATCAAGAGAGAGAAAATGAACCTTGCAGCAACGCTAGAAGTTACATTGCCCATTAAAACAAACCCACCTCAAAACAACAGGCAGAAAACAGCAACGACTACTCCATTAACGATTTGAATGTCTCAAACTCTCTCTTCCTCCGTTTCTGTTGTGTTTCCCTTGTTCTTCTTTCAGAGGCGAAGGCGCGATAACATTCCTGCAATTTAAACCTTCTCTTTTGTCTTCTTCCCTGGCGGCCCTTTAAATGCAATCCTCCCCAACATCCCCCCTCGAAGTAATCAAGTTCTGCTCTCTTTCTCTCTCTCTGAACCAAAGGCATCTCCCTCGGAAGTTTCTCTCTCTCTCTGTACAGTACCATAGAAAGCAGAAAGAAGATGGAGCCAGGTCCACCGGTAATAGCCAAGAAAAAGTGTAACATCGTACGGATAGTGTTCTTTATGCTGAGAAAAGGCATTTCGAAGCGGAAGTTAATGATGGATCTTACTTATCAAAAAAAAAAAAAAGTTAATGATGGATCTTCACCTGATGATGAAACGTGGCAAGCTTGCTGGGAAGACTCTGGGCAACCTGATGTTCCACCACTACTCCAATCTCAGTTGCCGCTCCAACGACGTACAGCTTTCGTTCGTCGCTCCCCGTGAGTACGAATTCAGCTGCAGCAATAGCTCTGCCTACCCCTTTCACTTCCCCGTCCACGTCAACAAGCGCAAGGGCCACCACCATTTCTATTATTCTCACCACCACCATCGTGATCAGGACGAGATAGATGCCGTTAATGCGGTGCAGAAGGTGTTTGAGATGTTGAACAATGACGCTGTTAGCGTGGAGGCGTCGCCGTTGGTAAACCTGCCGGGGTTCGGGAAGAGCCCCATAGTACAGGCGAGGAAGACAGCCACGTCGACAAGGCAGTTGAGGAATTTATTGAGAGGTTTTATAAGGATCTAAGGCAGCAAAAGAGGATGGCTGCTCTCGAGGCAAGATACCATGATATGTGGTCGTCCCTGGGTTAAGATACCTGTGTCAGTTGTCGGCCGGACTCCGGCTTTGAATGTAAGACAGACCTACTACCGGCAATAAATTGGAACGAGTGCTTGACCGAAAGGTTGTCAATGTTGGAAAGGATGGGCTGGTGGACATGGCTGAGGGAACGGGCTTAGCAACTCCTGTGATCATCTATTAATATTAACATAAGGTTGATAAGGAAAATTATAACAGTGAGTTAACGCAAAATACTAAATCATGGCAAAATGAAAATTCGGATAATAGATTATGGCATTATAAAGTTTGGATAGTAAATTGGCACTCGGCCTAAAATACAGGTACCTGTCGGGAATTTTTACAGAATGAATTAGAAAATATTTGTTTCAAAAAACAGTAATATTTTGAAACCAATAAAATATTATTTTTTATAACAAAAAAACAAAATTTTTAATATAAAAATTATGTGATTTATGGAACACGGTGTTGAATAATTAGATGAAAACATGTTTTTAAAACCAGATTCGAGAACATATTTTTTGCTTCAGCTTTGAAAATAGAAAATATATATGCAAATGAGAATATATTTTTTGTGTTTTTGTATTAAGAAACAATCTATTTTCAAATAAGATGATTTTGATTTGTTTTTGAAGCCTACAACAAAAAAGTATTGTGGTAATAAATTTGCCCTTTTTATAATAATAAGTTTCATCTTCAAATAATATTGAAATGTTTATGCAATAAAAATATTATGTTCACTTAACAGAAAAACAAATGCTGAATTTCATTGGTTGGAGCTGGGATCCCTACCAACGAAACATGTTCCAATACCCTTTCAACATAATCCGACATTGCATATTTCACCATATCTGAATGGGATCCATTACAAAATAGAGACTTTCCATGCATCAGATGTGCGATGTATTTGAGGAAAAAAAGTTAAAATACAAAACCTTGAAGCTTTTGATAATCATAAAAACTTTTCCTATAGTTTCATCGTAACAAATATCTCTTTGAACTTTTGAAAAACTCATAAAAGCTTCCTTCAGTCATTGATTTAGACAGAAAATGTTTATATTTACGAAATTACCCCTGAAGTATCATTTAAAGATTTCATAAAATACCATATTTGCCAAACATCTCACTCACATTTACTGTTTTTTTGTTAGAGCAAAAGAACGTAAACCCTAACACTTGCAGGGCGCCATTGCTCAGAATATTCAGCTTCTCGAAATATTCCATCTGTTTTATAGCAACTGTTCTTCACCGGTGACTATTTTTACCGGCAATTTAAAATAAGCATATAGCTTCGACTATTCTTCACCAGCGAATATTCCATCTGTTTTTTAAAGCTTCCACTCTTCTTCATCTGAATATTTCGTTTCTTCCCTAGAGTCAAGGATTCAAGTGAATCTGGAAGTCTAAACCTTTTCAAGATATTTAGCTATATGCATAAAGTGAGCGGATATGTTTTTAGAATCTTTTCTATCAGCTTCAGTGATTATTTTGCAGATATAACTGCTCTGATGAAATTAACCTTGAATATCAAATGGGTTCCATTGCTCTGTTTCAAAATTTAAGATAAATTACACTCCAGACATACACTTTTTCTTTTCATTCTTGGGAAGAAATGAAAGAAGTAGTCATTATTATTAACGTTGTGTAAATTAAGTAAAATAGTGGGAAACTAGGAACTGGGAAAACGGTTCAGCATCAACTGTTCAATACTTCAAGTACGTGCAGAAAGATACAGTCATTATTATTCTAGACTTCCAGTACCCACGTTGATCTGTATATTAAGTTATTAGCATGAGTAGCCAAAGCAAGGAGCTCTTTTTCCTCCTCATAGTTCACTTGAACAAATTGTACATCTAGGTTCATCTCTGCAAATTGACATACTTGTATAAAGGAAAAGAACAAAACTAAAGTTTGGATTTAAGCCCGTGAAACCCTTTTCTTTGATTTTGATCGAGTTTCAACTTTGAAAGAGGCAAATAAAGAAAAGAACGGCACTGGTATTTGCTTCCTTATGATGAATAATGGTAGAGATTAATCATACCTTCAGATGGAAAGCTTTGCATCCTCCACAGCCTGGAGAGAAGAAATCCACGATAACAAAGTTTATCTCTTGCTATGGATCGGGGTTTAAAGGGTTGGAAGATTAAGAGAGTCAATGTTTTTTTGGGGTTTCTCTCATCTTGAGACGACGGATTTCGAACACGGCTCCTCTTTGAGTCATCTATCTTGGGGTCGATTGGGCGTTTTGTTGAATCTTAAAACGGAGTTATTTAAGGGTAAAATTGGTATATAGAAAAAATTGATGCATCAACTTTACGTTTTCTGTCTAAATTAGTAACGGAAGAAAAGTTTTTATTGAGTTTCTATTACAATGAAACAATGGGAAAAGTCTATGATTATCAGAAAATTCGGGGAGGCTTTTGTATTTTACTCAAAGATGTGCGGTGTCACATCAAGTTTGGCTGAAGGAACGTACTTTGTCGGTAAGAGAAGTGGGAGAGCTGAATAATGTTATGGGTTTCTTATAGCGAGAATGACTGATCAGTCCCGTCAAATAGGTAATTTGCCAAATGGCAGCACCTCAGTGTGCCACGTGACCAATCCCAACCATCTATCGTTTCAAGCTTTCCTACAGTTTTACCCGTCTAATTCAAAATTGTATTTTCCCCTAATTTTTTTCACCGGGGAACCCAAAAGTTTATCATGATTGATAAATATCAATCCAAGCGAGATGCCAAGAAAAAAAAAGTTGAATTTAAAAAGTAAAAAATCTCTTAAAAAGCTCGGTAAAAGAGAGAATGGCATAAATCCGATGGTTAGAATAGACTGATAAACGATCCGGCCCCAACTCTCAAGACCAGACCACGCTCACACGCGTACGCGTCTGTCCCAGACCCGAGGGCATCAACTTTCAACAATCAACCTACTTTTTAACTCCGCGTCCCTCACGTGACGTAATGAGACGGAATGCTTCTTTTTTTTTAATAAAAGAAATAATTAAATTAAATGTACAAAAAGCTATTATTCCCAGAATAACTTTACTCATACAACCATGGAACACATAACTAAAAAGACTCTCCCCCCCGGCACAAATTCTGTGGTTCGTTTGATTTTGATCTAAATTAAAATGGATAGCCAGGATCCTTCTCCCCTCTCGCTCTGGCACCAGGTTCGACATTTCGCTTTCGGCCCCGTGATGGCGACTGAGCCGTCTATGCTCCTGCCTTGACGTGCATGTGGGCCCACTGTACGGGAAGGAAGGGCGGGAAGATGAGAGAGAAAACAGAGAAACGAAAGAAAGCGAAAACGAGAAACCACGAGCAAAATGCAAATGCTGCTTCTGCAGTTCTGCCTGAGCTGGAGCCTGGAGCTGAGAGTCTCTTCCCACCTGAAGAATGTTTTGCTTTCCCCGTTGAAATTTATTTCATCAAGAAAAGGAGAGAGGTGTTCCCTTTCTTCTGTTTTCTTGCAAAAAAAAAAAAAAAGAAAACTACCAAAGTGAGTAAAGAGAGTTCATACCCGGAGCGGAATGGAGTAGATTTGATCAATTTTCCAGGCTTTAATGGTCGGAAGAATCTGGAAGTGTCATCTATATGGTATGGATGGATAGAAAAAACGGTTTATGGTATCTCTGTCTAGTATTTGCGAGATTCTGTGTTGTTTAACGAACCTTCAGGTTTTAGTAATTTCTTCGGCTTCCCTCTCGTCTCTTTCTATACTTCTGAGTATTTTCCTTCCTTGAAAGTTGAAATGCGATTTTGGGTTGTTGAACCTACCGTGACTTTTTCTAGCAAATGAATCAATCTGTCAGAATAAAAAAAAAAAGAAATATGCAAATGCACCTTCTTCTTTTGTTTTTGGGTTCGGAATTTAGAATTTCAGGTTAAGAAGAGGTTGTCGTAATGAAAAAGCTTGGAATCGGCATGGGAAGATTTGGTTCTGATATTCCAAAAGGATTTAATTAAGCTATTCAAGTAATCTTCTGTAATGGTTTCAATTGAGTGTATTTATAGGAGTTGTCTGATTTTTTGGAAGGTGAGGAAAGACTGGTGGGCCTGGGGTTGGAGTTGGGAGGCCAGGCTGAAGCCTTTCTCGCTACAGTTTGTAGTTCAATTGGTGCAAGTTGAAATGATTGATTTACAAACGGAAGCTCTTTAACAATCCTACAACTACGATTATTTGGATGCCGTCTTGATGAATTTCTGAGCTAAGGAAGAAGTTCTCTTCGTCCTTTAGTGTGGTTCCAGCGGAGCGGTTCTCTGACGTACTCCCATCCCATGGATAAGAGAAGCTCCAAGATCTCCGTACCTTTTCTGTTTATCTCCTGCTTTTGCCATGTCATCCAATGTCGAGAAGCCATGATTGAAATTGAACACCTGGTTACAGAGCCGCCGACCCCATTTAGGGTTCCCAGTTACAGGAGTGGCCTTCGGAGGATTATTCTGGGCACCATATTGGGGTTCTTAACAGGATTTATTTGTGCCATTCTTTTTGCTTGCTTGGTCCGATTTCTCATTAGGTACTTGTACAGAACCCCAATTCTCAAAGGTCCGGTTGTCTTCTCCCCAAAAATTGCTCCAAGAACACTCCAACTGGCCCTCTCCAATGAAAACCAGTTGCTTGGGTCGAGCCCTAATGGAAGGTACTACAGAACTGTTCTTGATAACGGGCTAACCATCGCGGTCAAAAGGCTTGAACCCTTCGAAAGCCCTCCTTCTCCGGAGACTCTAAGCAAGTCCGTCAAAAGACGGATACAGCGAGAGCTAGAAGTGCTAGCCAGCCTAAGGCACCGGAATCTGATGAGCCTCCGGGCTTACGTTCGTGAATCTGATCGATTTTCTCTGGTTTATGATTACGTGCCTTATGGCAGCCTCGAAGATGCAATGAACAGAGTCCGGGAGAACCAGCTCCAGCTTGGCTGGGAAATTCGCCATCGCATTGCAGTTGGGGTGATTAAGGGACTCCACTATCTCCACTTTAGCTGCAGCCCAAGAATTCTTCACTACAGTCTCAAACCTACAAATGTGATGTTGGATGCAGAATTTGAACCGAGGCTGGCAGATTGTGGATTGGCTAAGTTTATGCCTAATTTGGGTCAAACAACATCTGGCTATACAGCTCCTGAATGTCTCCAAAGTTGCAGGTATTTTTGACAAGATACAAACTTAAATCATTTTTCTTAAATCCCTATCTTAACGCAGTTGCAGTACTTATTTATAAGGTTTCATGACTAGCATTACATTTGCAGTGATAAAAGATTTATTGCCTTTGGTTTTACTTTTACCCTTATTTTGAGAAGCTTTAAATGGGAGTTGTTTACAACGATTTGAGTTACAAATGATATGTGGTATTACATGTGCTGATTTAATGTTTTTCTGCACATTTGGCGTGGTTAAATTAAATTCAGAAGTCTTTATAGCACTTGTCAGTTGTATTAACTATTAAGGATCTGCCTACTGCCTAGTAGAAGAAAATTTTTACTGGTCTATCTGATTCGTAGTTCCGAATTTCATATCATTGGTGAAACTATAAGGAACTAATCGAATGGAATGTGGACTTGGGATTTCCCAATGGGTTTGATCTTTGCTGAAGTACAACTAATTGAGATCATCAGTGTGTACAGTACCGATGAAAATTGAGAAATGGTTAATTGATTATGGAACATATTTCATCTGTTATTCCAAATGAAAGTTCATATTTAGTGGTGTTTCAACTTTCGAGGAAAGGGGCTTTTCGGGGTTGTGGAGGCAATGCAATTTTATTGGGTTGTGGGTAGTGGAATTCATTATGAAAATTTGGTTCCTTTTGGTTCATTAGTTAATTTAGCAAATGGTCGTCGTGTTGTCTTTTTTGTCCCTAACTAAGATGCCATTGGTCCGTCCAATTTCACAGGTACACGGATAAAAGTGATGTGTTCAGTTTTGGTGTGATTCTGGGTGTTCTGCTAACTGGAAGGGACCCTATGGATCCATTCTTTGGTGAAGCAGCAAGCGGAGGAAGTTTGGGGCGCTGGCTTCGGCATTTGCAGCAAGCAGGAGAGGCACGAGAATCACTAGACAAGAGCCTTCTTGGGGAAGAAGGTGAGGAGGATGAGATGCTGATGGCAGTTAGAATTGCTGTCGTCTGCCTCTCAGATTTGCCTGCTGACCGCCCTTCAAGTGATGAGCTTGTTCCCATGCTCACACAGCTACATAGCTTTTGAAGAAAATGCATGTAAAATATATACATTTGTTCCAGGTTGTGGGTCCCCTGTAACTCTTCGCATCTGCAGAATTTGGAGGTTGGGTAATTCTAGGTATTGATCTACTAGTGGGTTCTGATCTGCATTACCCAGAAAATCTGAAGAATCCAAGGATTTATTTACCTCTCTGAAAATCCAGCTTCCAGCATTTTTACTTAAATCATGTTTCACTGCAAATACCGCAGTAGACACCACAGAAGTTGGGGATGATGCTTACATTACATGGTGTTAACAGTAAAGAAGTTTGCCGGAAGAAATTTCTTCACCCCAAACTGCAAAGTCCATGGGGATAATCATCTTCCATAAACACGATATGTTGAGATGTGCAAACATGATTATCAACGCCATTAGAAATGCAGACTTTTGCCCATCATTGTACTTAATATATATGCATTTAGCGGTTTGAGAAGAGAATCTATCTCACCCATGTGGACTAGTATGGAGTTAATACTTAGCACAAAACACCATGTCATCACTCATCATCATCCAAGCCATCATGTACTCTATGAATATGGGATTGGCTACGTGAATTCCATTATGTTTAGTGTCATATCATTATCAACTCTTAAATCATTTCTTAGGTACTTGTTGACTAACAAGTAACAAACATAAACTTAGCCAACAAGCATAGAACTTATAGAACACTACTAATAGTGTGAAATTTGGTTTGAAAGTTTACTAGTGTCAGAGATGGGTGATTTAGGCTGCATTTGGCATTTTTTATTTTAAGGTCATTTTAAGTGCAAAAAGGAGATAAGTCGTTAAAATTAGGAATGCCAAATGCAGCTTTACCACCATCGGCGACAAGAATGGATTGAGCGGCTTGAATGTTTTTATGGCTTAATTTGTTAAGAGTACAAATACAAATATATATAATATTAATATATGCAAAATAATACAAAATACAAGGTCATGTACTTTATAAATATGTACTTAGTACTCCTTCCAAACCGAGCTTATGGGGCTAAAATTTTGATTAAACTAGATTAGTTGTGTAGGGCCCACCTTGGAAAGCCAAAAGCCGTTGTGTCTTAGTGTCACGTGACTAGTTGATGAGGCCCCATGTGGTGTTTGATGGGGTCGAGTAAACCTATGAAAGAAAGCAATAACACACAATAGGCAACAAAGAAGGCACATGAATTAGTAAAAAGACATTTTATATTGCAATGGATGGCAAACACACAAGTTTGTGTCGAGGGGATCTCATGTTTAACCTTTACATGGTCTTGGCACCACTCAACTACTTATCTCCCCTCAAAGAGTAGCTTAAGCTTTTGGTGCTCTAATAGAAGGTTACATCAAAATATTGAAAAATCATACTAGTAATTACAATAATGCCATTGGCATCTCCCTCCTACAAAATACACATGTTGCCCCACTCAATACACACTTAGACAACACTCTAATGGTAAGATGCCAGTACGGTGAAGGCACTCGATGCCACGACAAGAGGTCACTTGTGATAGTCTCTCCCACTCAATTCAGCCTTCGTCCTCGAAGACTAGCTTCTACTTGTTGCCTGAGCCTGTTGTTGGTGAAGGAGGATTCTTAAGCTGCTCCACGAACTTCTTTTCTTCCAAGGCTTGGGCAAGTGCTTGGGTGATAAGTTTGAAGATGCTTAAAGTATTGGGGAAACTTATGGTTGGGTCCTAAGTTAAGTTCCTGGCTAACGGCTTGGAGGTAGGTCATACGAGGCCTAGGTGGGCTTGTCCTACTAGCTAAGGTAAGGTTGGCTGCAAAAGTTGAATTTGGATTGTAAGGGTGTTGGACAATAAAGGACGTCCCCCAAGGTTCTCTCCTCATAGGGCAGTTAAGCACGTTGGATGGAGGTCGAGTATTGGAAAGGTTCCTATCAGATGAGGGTGGCACTCTCTTCCCATGATGATAGGTATGGTTGCTGTTGGAGTTGGCCTTGGGTCTTCTGTTGAGTTTGGTAGTTGATGTCTGGCGTGCTGACAACAACTGTTGAGATGTTGAGGACGACTTGCTAGATTGTCGCTGCTTGTTAGAGTCTTGACGGGGTTTGACACTAACAATCATGGCTAGGTAAGTGAGTCTCTTCTTTGTTGCATACTTCTCACTGGTCTTGAACAGTTGCAACATTGAAACTTGCTTCTTCTTGTTGATTGTTGTAACCATGTAGGGTGACTTTTCATTGAGGATAAGTATGGTGTCGAGATGTGGGGCTGGTGTTGCCTTTGCCTATAGCATAAAGTCCATGCCTAGGACCACATCAAAATCATCCATGTGATCGACGAAAAGATCAATCTCTCCATCCCAAGTGTCGACTTGGAGTCTCACTTGACAAGCCATGCCTTCAGTGGGTCTAGCACCTGTATTGATAGCTATGAGCCAGTTTCGCTCATTTGAAATCGCCAAGTTAAGTCTCTTGGCCTCTGCAATGGATATAAAGTTGTGAGTGGCCCTGGTATCAACTAGGGCCTTGGTTGGCCTTCTGCCAAGGCGTATGTCAACATACCTTAGCCCTCTTTTGGCTGAGGCGGGAGGTTTAGATGTAGCCCCTTTTGCATTGAAGAGTTGAAGGGCGCCCACTCTCGGGGCCTGTGTACTTCGCTCCCCATCACACTGTTCATCATCACTAAGTTTGGCAATGAGAACGTTCATCTTCTCTCGCTTTGGGCAATACTTCGTCAAATGCTCCTCTCCACATATGTAGCAAGTGGGAGAACAGCTTGGTCTCCCCGTGTATCTGTTGTTGTAGGAACTTCGATCTCCCTATGGCTGCTTTCTTTTCTGGAACTCAAGTGGCCGGTTGTAGGGCTTCTTTTCTGGAGGGGAGCTTGGTTGCTTATCCCCCCCACTCAAATTTGAGGTACGTGAGCTAGAAGGCTTGATGGCTTCCTCATCTCATTCAACTGCTCGGCCACTGCCATGGTGGTAGCAAGGTCTTGGGTGCCATGACGTTGAAGTTCTAGCTCCACCCATGGTTGTAACCCGTCATGAAGTTGAATAACAAGTCCTTATCAGACATGTTCACTGATCTCCAAGGCAAGGGCTGAAAACTCCTTGACGTAGTTGTGTAGGGAGTCATCGTGCTTGAGAGACTTCATGTTATGGCAAGCAAAGTACTCCATGTTCTCTGGATAGAATTGTCTCTTCAACTCTCGCTTGAAATCGACCCATGTATTTACAGTGCACGTACCTCATTCTATGTCAATGCTCCTTCTACACCACCACAACATAGCAACATCAGTCAAATACATAACCATTGTGCGTACCTAAGCCATTTGATCATCAATGTTGGCAATGTCTCTCTTCATAATTGCACACTCCACCTTAAGTTCATCTAACTGGGCTTGGAGGCTGGCGGAAACACACAAGGTTGTCTTCATGGCAACCCATTCTCCTCTTATCTCATCTAATTGGGCCTGGATGGCCGTTGGGGAGGACATGGCCCTCCTCCACGTTGCCCACTCACTTATCATTCCATTGAGTTGGGCCTGGAAGTTGTCGAGCTTGTCTTGAATGTCGGAGTGGGATGAGCTTCCTTCTTGTTGGCAGGCAGTGCTGTAGACTTCCTTAAGGGTTTTGTTGAGCACGTCACGGACCTCATTGACAATACCACTCATGTGGCCTTCCACCTCTACCACTGCACTCTCGATGGCTTCAACATTTTGGTGGAGCTCGTCCACTCGATCACGCATCTTGCCTACAGTGGCTTCAGAATGTAGTATGTGTAGGTCAATGGCTACATGCTTATCAGTGGATCTCTCGCGTTTGCTTGCCTTTGATGTTTGGGTCATCGATGCTTTATCTTTGACGATGTCGTCGGCGAGTGCATTGTCAATCTTGCAGGATGGGGAGAGTCCATGCTCGATATCCTCTATGATGTCCTTATTGTTCTTAATGGTGTTGCTTGCATCACGGGTCAATCGACTTGTAATGATCTCTTGCTTTGATACCAACTGTCACGAGGCTAATCGATGAGGTCCCGTGCAATGCTCAATGGGGTCAAGTAAGCCTATGAAAGAAAGTCATAACACATAAAAGGCAATAAAAAAGGCACACGAATTAATAAAAAGACACTTTGTATTACAATGAATGGCAAGCACAAGCACACAATTTTGTATCGAGGGGACTTCGTACTTAACCTTTACATAGTCTTAGCACCACTCAACTATCTACCTCCCCTCAAAAAGTAGCTTAAGCTTTTGATGCTATAATAAAATATTACATTAAAATATTGAAAAATCATACTTGTAATTACAATAATACCATTGGCATCTCCTCTACTAAACTAATGTTGCACCACCTAAGACCAATGTTCAAAGTATTGATACGATATGCAAATCGACAGTATCATATCGGTACTTAGAAACGGCCAAAACTCTATTTTTTTTAGTTTTTTTTTAAATTTTGGATTCTTGGGAAGCTAAAAATATGTTTTTTATTATAAAAGTTGAGATTCCGAAATATCTAGAAACAAACATTTCGGGGCGTATCGTATCGATACTTTAAACCATGCCCAAGACACACTTAGACGGCACTAGGATGGCAAAACGCGGGCACGGTGAAAGCACAGTATCATATCGGTACTTAGAAACGGCCAAAACTCTATTTTTTTAGTTTTTTTTTTTAATTTTGGATTTTTGGGAAGCTAAAAATATGTTTTCTATTATAAAAGTTGAGATTCCGAAATATCTAGAAACAAACATTTTGGGGCGTATCGTATCGATACTTTAAACCATGCCCAAGACACACTTAGACGGCACTAGGATGGCAAAACGCGGGCACGGTGAAAGCACTCGATGGCGCGGAAAAAGGTCACTTGTGGCATCAGCCTCAGCCCTACCAAACGAGCACTAGCATCTAGTGGTGTGGCCGGTTGGCAGCTGTGTAATGCAAAATGCAGTTCGATACGTCATGAAGGGCGCAGCACGGTTGGTGAAAAAAACACAATGCTCCTGATCTAAGGTCTATGATGCATTTACCAGAAAATGATGCACGTGGTACTGTGGTAGAGAGAGGGGGAACACTAGAGTTGCGAGTTTGGGACTAATCGACTCTGGAGTTGAGACAGAGCCCAGAGGATGAGAGGATGGTCTAGTCGATCGGTGGAAGCAACCCGTAACTATTTCCCTCGCTTCAAGCCTTCAATAACCGACTCTCCTCCCATTAACTGTTAAACCCCGTCTTTGGTCTTTCCATGAAACCATTCCGAACTAATTTCTTGCACTCCCTCAGTTATGTTAGAGCTTCTCTTACGGGTCAGTTGATAGTCACTGTCAGAAAGTATGTGGTAGACGCCCATATGATTAAGACCGGCTTCAATCCTAGCATTTGCCGCTCTAATTACCTCATGGAAGATTGTCTCAAAAGAGGTCATCTTCTAAAGGCGCGCCAATTGTTTGATCAGATGCCTCAAAGAAATGTAATCTCAACGAATACATTGATCTCAGGTTACGTAAAATCGGGCAATCTTTCAGTGGCAAGAGAGCTTTTTGATTCTATGGTGGACCGAAATATGGTTACTTGGACAATTTTGATTGGCGGATATTCACAGTGTAATCAAATTCAAGAAGCTTTTAAACTTTTCTCAGAAATGCAGAGGTCTGGGATACACCCAGATCATGTTACCTTCACTAGTCTCTTATCAGCATGCATTGGCCCTGAGACAACATACCAAATAGTTCAAGTTCACGCTTATGTATTTAAATTGGGCTATGACTCCAATCTTCTTGTCTGCAACACTATGATCAATTCTTATTGCAAATCCAATTGCATTGATTTAGCTTGTGAGCTCTTCAATGCGATGTCTGAAAGAGACTGTGTCACATTTAATGCAATGATTACCGGGTACTCAAAAGATGGGCTAAACGAACAAGCAATGGATCTATTCTTAAAAATGCATAGTTCAGGGTTGAAGCCCTCTGACTTCACCTTTGCAGCAATTCTATCTGCTAGTATTGGATTAGGCGACTTGGCTCTTGGCCAACAGGTTCATGCTTTGGTTTTTAAGACCAAATTTATTTATAATGTGTTTGTAGGCAATGCATTGCTAGATTTTTACTCAAAACATAACTGTGTGGTTGATGCCAAGAAACTATTTGATGAAATGCCAGAATTAGATGGTATTTCTTATAATGTGATAATTACAGCCTATGCATGGAATGGGCAACTTAAAAAATCCCTGGATATGTTTCGGGAATTGCAGTCAACTGGATTCAACCGAAAACAGTTTCCTTTTGCTACTGTATTAAGCATTGCTGCAACTCTACAGGATCTGGAAATGGGACGGCAAATCCATGCTCAAACAATTGTAACATCTGCAGTTGAATCTGAAATTCTGGTCAGGAATTCTCTAATTGATATGTATGCCAAATGTGGTAGCTTTGAGGAAGCAGAGTTGATTTTTGCAAATCTAGCCCCAAAGAACACTGTTTCATGGACAGCCATGCTCTCGGCTTATGTTCAGAAAGGACTTTATGAGGAATCGCTCAAACTGTTTCCCATGATGCTTAGAGCCAATATTACTGCCGACCAAGCAACTTTTGCTATCACCTTAAAAGCTGCTGCTAACTTGGCTTCACTTGGACTAGGGAAGCAGTTGCATTCATATATAATCAAATTTGGATTCATATCAAATGTTTTTGCTGGAAGTGCACTTCTAGATATGTATGCGAAATGCGGATGCATAAAAGATGCAAGTGAAATCTTTGACGAGATGCCAGATCGCAATCTGGTCTCTTGGAATGCCATGATCTCAGCTTATGCTCAGAATGGCAATAGTGAGGCCCCAATTAGGTTATTCAATGAGATGGTCCAATCAGGTCTTCAACCTGATTCTGTAAGCTTCCTTAGTGTCCTAGCTGCATGCAGCCACCGTGGGCTTGTTGAAGAAGGATTGCATTACTTTGATTCCATGACTCAAATTTATAAACTCGACCCTAAAAGAGAACATTATGCTTGTATTCTTGACATCCTGGGTCGAAATGGCAAGTTTGATGAACTGGAGAAATTGATGGCACAAATGCCTTTTGAGCTTGATGAGATTACCTTGTCATCAATTCTGAATTCATGCAGGATCCATGGAAATCTAGAACTAGCACAGAAAGTAGCTAATCAGCTGTTTAATATGGAGCTCAGGGATGCAGCTCCTTATGTTGTTATGTCAAATATTTATGCAGCAGCTGGTCAGTGGGATGATGTTGGGAAAGTGAAGAAGTCAATGAAGGACCGAAGGGTTAAGAAAGTTCCAGCTTATAGTTGGGTTGAGATCAAACAGAAGATTCACATGTTCTCATCAAATGACAGGACCCACCCACAAATGGATGTGATCAGGAGAAAACTTGAAATGTTGTTTGAGCTGATGGAAAAGGAAGGGTACAGAGCAGATATAAGCTGTGCTCTTCACAATGTTAAAGATGAGCTCAAAGTTGAGTCTCTTATGTATCACAGTGAGCGCTTGGCCATTGCCTTTGCCTTGATCAATACACCAGAAGGATCACCAATACGAGTGATGAAGAATTTGCGAGCTTGTGCAGACTGTCATGCCGCAATCAAGGTGATTTCAAAAATTGTAGGGAGGGAGATTATAGTTAGAGATTCAAGCAGGTTCCATCATTTCAGAGATGGTCTCTGCTCCTGTGGAGATTACTGGTAAGTTTGCTGACAAAAAAGAAAGGGAATTTGTATGGCTTTCTTTCTCTGTCAACAGATGACAGGCAAGGGACCTCAGGCATATCAAGACTTGCTTTAGAAACAGCCTCTTGAAAAATCTACTGCCTGATGAAATCTGTTCTTCTCTATATCAAAGACAAATATTTATTGGGAGGCAGTGCGGCTGGATGTTATGAGAGGGTTCAATGACTTTCATGGTAATGCCTCACTTGAAAGAAGCCTCAACACAACTTTTATTTCTTTAATTCCAAAAGTTGAAGGTGCAGTAGATATCAAAGACTTTAGGACAACAAGTCTTCTGAATTGTTTGTACAAAATTTTGGCCAAGGTATTAGCTTAAAGGCTCAAGAAGGTGCTGGGAAGTGTTATCTTTGATCAGCGGTCTTCGTCCCTGGGAGATATTGGACAGTGTTCTAGTGACAAATGAGTTAATTGACTCAAGGAAGAGGAAGAAACAGAAGGTATTCTTTGTATAATTGACCTCGAAAAGGTGTATGGTCATGTCAATTGGAGATGCCTAGACGTTGTTGTTGTGTTAGAGAAGATGAACTTTGGGAAAAAATTGAGAAATTGGGTAAAACTTTGTGTCTCCTCTCCATAGTTCTTTGTTCTCATTAATGGGCAGTTCACTGGTTTCTGCAAGTGTTCAAGGGGCATACACCAAGGTGACCCCCTCTCCCTTCTTCTGTTTATCTGTTTGATGGAGGTGCTTATCCAATTTATAAAGAGAATTGGAGCTGGTGGCCAATGGGAAGGTTTTGAAATTCCCCTAGATGGTGAGGTGTGCCAATCTTACAGTTTTCTGATGACACATTGTTTTTCTTGGATGGTTCTGCTCAGTTGGAATCTCTTTTGGGGTTGTACACATATTGCCAAATCATAACCGAACCATTTACCAATTTCTTTTCCTATTTTGATTAGTAGTGTTTCTTGCAGGATCTTTTGTCCAGATTTATTTCCTACCTTTGCTCAATTTTCCTCTGGTTCAAGCACTACCAGGTTCACTACCCCCCNCCCCCCCCCCCCCAATGGAACGTTTCTGCTTCCTTTAAGTGACAATTTTGCATTATAAATTTATGTCTTTTATTTTTTCACAGTTCTATTCTAATAATTTCACTAACCTGAGTTCAGCATCCATTCTGCCAATGGAACATTTTCTTACCAGATTTACAGGTTACATACCCCCTCCCCCCAACAAAAGAGAAAAAAAGACCTTTACAAGACCATAAATCATCTACCTTAAACCCTCAAAATCAATTTTGGTGCTTTTATTTAAATCTTGTACTTTCATTGTTATAGGTTTCTGGTGGGAGGTGTAAACAAATATAGAGGCAAGTTCATTTTTTGTGGTAGTGCTCAACATGTAAGGACTCAAATCCATGTGATCTTCTTTTGATTTTCTTTCAATATTTCCCAGATTTATTGCAAATGCTTGGGTGTCTTGACTCAAATTCAGTTTATACCTACTCTACCCAAACCCACTGTTTCAATTTTGATGTTTATATTTCATCTTATGTTTTCATTGTCTACAGATTTCTGGTGGGAAGGGTGAACAAACATAAACCCAAGTCCAATTTTTTGAGGTATTGCTCAGCAGGTAAGGACTAAAATTCATGTTTTACTTGATTGATTTTCTTTCAGATTTTGCTACATTTACTGCAAGTGCCCGAGTGTCCTTGCTCAAATCTATTTGGGATACACTCATATTGTAAATTAAGTATTACAATGTTGAATGCTTCTGGGTTATATTTCTAGTGTATGATTGCGATCATTTTATCAATATAATTTTATGGATTTCCATTGGATATGGCTTTTGAAGTCTACAGGGTTTTACTGAATCTGTTTTTTCTTTCCTAATATCTTCAGTCATTTTGCACCCATCACCTTATGTTTTATCTTAAAAAGAAGGTAACCTACTACCCTGGATGATAGACCATGAATACTGTTACAAATGTCATTTTGAAAATGTACATTGGGCATATTGAAAAAGATAGTTTTGCCCATTTCCCTTGTGATAAGAAATCAATCATTTCTTTAGTCTCTATTTCTCATGAGAATGACTGACCAAGTAATATTGCAAATCAAAATGAGCGTGTGTAAGAGGATGAATGTCTGATGCTGCGCAAAATATAGGAAGACGGCTCCAAAGCATGTAAAGAAAACTACTCAAGCCCTCCTAATCTTGGTTGAATTAGCATATCTGAAATTGGGTTATATATATATAGTGACCCAACCACTAAGGCATGCTTCTTAAAGATTGGCATCTCTTAGTAATACTTTTTGACCATTTATGCTGACTTAAAAGAATTCAACTGTTTAGAACTCGGTCTTGTGCACTGGGGAGACCTTTCCTGTATATCGTATTCCTGAGATTGTTACTCCAACGAGACCGCCTTGGTATGGTGTTCATGAGACCGTTACTCTGCAAGCTCCTCCTTAGTCAGATCCCACTCTGTCATGGGAGATCATGTTTTGTGATCCCGTGAACTCCACCATAAAGTCCTTTGCAGACTCATTTTCTTGTAGAACCAAGGTTCCTGCAAGGCCTTTGTCTCGTAATATCGCTATCACTTGATGCTCTCAGTCAATGCCTCACTTCCAATCCACAATAATATATCCACCCTCTCACAGTTTGATCTTTTGTTGTCTTTACCAAAAAACACGTATTGGTAACCTTGTTTATTTTTGGCAAGATAGGAAAAATTTCATAGACAGTGTATAAGATAATTTTGATTAAAAACACTTGTTTTAAACTTACCTTAATTTTTAAAGTTTATTTATTTTTTTGCTACCATGGTACCGAAACACCCCCGCATGGATTAGGATTTCGGATTATACTGTCAGGGTTATATTGGAAGACAATGTCACTCTAATGAAGTTGGATAAAATACATGTCATGCTAGCCATGACAATTAAAAGCATGTGCCCTCTAAGAACATTGTAATACTTATACCCATGAGATGAATAAACACCAGCATATAGGAAAAGAAAAAAATATTATAATGGTTAAAGTTGTAATAAACATCTGCAAATGCATGGTGCATTATAGGAAGGCTACATGTTCTACATGCTTAACAGCTACAGGATATGTACACAATGAGAGATTCATAAGACCACCAAGTAATGGAGATCTTTGTAAAGAAACTTCATATTATTAAACACTTGAACTACTACTGCATTGTCAACAGGAAACAGGCTATCTGTTGAAGTGATCTTTTGATATGGAATGTCTCTGAAATGTTATTTTGTTTAATTATAGCCAAGAGGTATTTCAAATTTTTTTTTGATAAATAAGAGGTATTTCAAAATTATGCACAATTGAAGTAATAATCATCATCCACTGTTTATTTCATTTTAAAATATCTAAACAAAATCAGTATGCACTGTTTATTCACATAAATACAGGTTGCATCAAGATTGCTTAATCTTGACTAGACATAGGCATCCTGAAAACATACAGTTGAGTCATGCACAACTAGCACCTTCAAAGTCCTAAACACCATGCTTTGACTATCAAAAGAATGAAATAATTCAGAAATAAGGATCAAACCCTCAACTAGTGTAGTTACTTTTGTTTGTTTGTTTTTTTTGGGGGGGTAAGTAGACTGCACTCCACCTCAGAATTCTGAATTCCATTGCATACCTTCAAAATTTCAAACACCTCCACCCTAAACACCAATACCCGCCCATGTATTGGCATCAATTTCGAGCTGGCACCGACCACAACTTTACAGTGGAGTGAAGGATTCTGGGGTTGGACTGAACAGTAAAAACCCCTTTTTTTCTTCCTCTTCTTTTTCTCTTGGTGGAGGAGGTTAGAAGAAGAAACTACCTAAACTCTAAACAGCACTAATAATATTAACATAAATAATAATTTATATTAATAAATGTAATTAACAGCCTTTCAATTAATTAATTGATTACATAGAGCTAATTAATTATGCTTAAATTATAAATGACCGGATTTAATACAAATTATTACGATAATTAATTATAGTAAAATTATTATTTAATTCATTACAGTTAAATTATTACTGTTAATAATTAGTTATTTATTTAATTATGGTAATAAATGACTGTGATTAATTACTGCTAATTACTTTAAATACATAAATGACTTTAAATCTTTGTTAATTTAGTATAAATGCTGTTAAACTAATATATATTATAAATTGCTATTTTTTTAATTACAATATGGTCAATTAACACTGATTATTATAAAGTAAAATAATAGTTATTATAATTAAATTATTGTAACTTTAAAAACTCATTTAATAGTAATTCTATAAATAAATTACTAATTTCTTTTGGTATAAATTACTATTAAATTACTGTAAATGTTGCTGTTAAATTAATTTAAATGCTATCAAATTATAAATGGCATATAAATTAATATAAATGATGTTAAATTACTATAAATTGATAATTTTTTCAATTACTTAGATGGTGTTCCCCTCCCAAATTTTCTCCAAAACTATCTTTCCCACCTAAAATTCCTCCTAAAACACCTCTTAATCTATATTACATGCCCAATAAACCGTCTAAAAACCAAAAACGTGGTTAAGACTGTTTGGTTCCGTAGGCGTTTATTGAAAAAGCGCCACCACATCAGCGCCACATAGGCATTGGTGTTTATTGTGCATGAAACCACTGTTTGGTTTCAATTTTTATCAAATAAACACTAAAAAACATAAACGCTTGGATGTATGTGCATGAGGCATTTGGAAAACGTCAAATCCTTGTTTCCCCCAATGCACCAGCATTTCTTAAAATGAAATGCTTATGCGGCATACTTTATGGGTGTTAATCTGAGGTGAAAAGTATGAATTGTTTAAAGTTATGCTCAACCAAATAGAAAAAGTAAGAAACGATGTTTAAAGTAAAGTTTTCCAAATAAGCGTTTAAAGCAATAAATACCCCAAGATAAACACCCACGGAACCAAACACATAATAAATTAATTAGTTAAATTAATATGGGTAGTTAAATTAATTTGTGAAATGTTTTTAATATTTTCAATAATTACTGATATTATTCAATATTATTCAATAAATATCAACACCTAAACTATAATTTTTCATAATTTTGGTAAATTGAAAATTTTAATTACTAAAAATTACTTGCTGAAAATTATTGATTTTGGTAGTTTAATTTCAGAAAATTTTGAAAATTAATTATTGAAATCAATAATTACTAAAAATTAATATTTAATTAACATTATTAATAATTAAAAATTTAATAATTAAAAATTATTGGTAATGTTTCATTGGAAAATTTATTTCAATAAATATAAATTTATTTTTTTTACATTTTCAGTCATTTTTTTAGCAATGAGTTAGTTATAGATATTTTCAGTAATTTTGGCCAATTTATTAATATTTAATTATATTATTAGATAATAATTAAAATTTTCAGTGGAAAATTAACTTCAATAAATATAATGTTTTTTATGTTGTCAGTAATTTTAATATCTACTATAATTTTTGAGCAATAATTAGTGACTTTGGTAATTTAATTACTAAAAATTACTGATTTTGATAATTTAATTTAATGAAAGTTAAATTATAAAACTTCCAACTATCCAAATAAATAATTGGAAAATTTTAATTACCATAATTATTGGAACTATATTTATGGGTTTAAGGGGGTGTTATGGGTTTGGGGGATGACTCCCCAGGTAGGAACGGCGGCAATGGATGGATTTAGAGCGGGGATAATACTCCCTGTCTCGATCCCTAGTTTTAAATTAATCCTTGTCTCTGACCCCAATCCCCATTGGGAAAATTTTAGCCTACATTCCTGGTCCTCGATGGAGACTGGTTCCCCATTGGGGACCTGAATCCCCAAATTTTTTAATTAAATGTTTGTTTTTAGAAAGATATTTACTTAAAATAAAGGAAAAATTAAAATGCAAATAATATTTTAAATATATAATCGGGGTCGGGCGGGGTGTTGACTTCACTCCCCGTCCCCAATCGAGTATTCCTATTAATCCTATCCCCACCTTGTCCCTACTAAGGTAGTCTCCATCCCCACCCCCGCTTGGTGGAGGAGGCTAGGTACTCGGTGAGGATGGGGAAAATTGCCATCCCTACCCCCAAGTTGTGTAGCCCCATAGAGCAATAAGTTTTAAGCCCAATAAGCCCTAACATGATAACATCTTTTTCTCGTGCACCACACGAGGGCCTGCTAGTGTATGTATAAGATTTTGTTTATTTTCTTATAATTTTTATCATATTTTATGTTTGAAATGGTAAATTTGATAAATGATCTATAAACAATATTATTTAAAATGTTTAATTTATTAACATATAAATAGTTTAGTATTTTTTGTCATTTTTATCAAGGCTATGTTATCAAAATTTAAATGTTAAGTTATTATTTAAATAAATAAATATAGTTTTCAATATAGTTGGGTTTATTAGGTTAGACCCGGCTATTAACTAGGACAGTTCAAGCCTATTGTTTTGTCCTAATTAATAATCGATTCAAAGACTAGGACCACCCTGTCCTAGGGGTGATCATTTCAGCCTGCCCCGAAAATTTTGGGCTTGGGCCTGGGTTTTGTGTTCAGACCCAGCCCAGCCCGCATATATTTAAACTTACACATTTTGTGTATAATGTATGCATATGTATACATGTTATTTTACATTGTATTATATGTTATATATATATATATATATAAATATTATAACATGACATGTATAATTTATATTATATGTAATATTTTATATTATATAATGTATAAAATAAGTTTATATGCATGTTATGTCATTTAATATATAGATATATAATATTTTATATTATATAATGTATAAAATAAGTTTATATGCATGTTATGTCATTTAATATATAGATATGTAATGTTTTATATATGAGTGGCATTGGCCCGGAATCAGGCCCGGCTCGACCCAGGCCCGTATAGAACTGGGTTAGGGCTTATGTTTTAGGCCCGGAACCCCGGGCCAGGCTTGGGCCTAAGCTATAGCCCTTATCATAAGTTCAAAGCCCAGCCCGGCCACGATCACCGTCCCGACCCAAATCCAACTTGTTGACAGCCCTAATTGTTTAAAAGGAATAAAAGGATAGACCATGTATCTTTTTAGGGAAAATTCCCGATAGGTACCCTATACTTTAGGCTGAGTGCCAAATTAGTACCCGAACTTTCATTTTGTGACAATCTAGTACCTATCGTTAATAACCGGCAGTTATGTATATCATGTGACTTCATGTGTCATTTAAGACTTTTGAAAATGTCAAAATTACCCTTAAATACTTTTCTATCATCTTCTTTCTCAAGAGAAGCAAACAGCTGCTTCAAGCTCTAGCAAACCTCCAAGCACCGGACAGCAAGCATTTTCCACTGGGTTCTCTAATCCAACATGCACCAACCTGCCAAGAACATCCAGTTTCAGCGCGTTGGCAACGTCTGGAATGATTCGACGCTTGGCAACGTTAACACCGTCTTTGGTTATGCCGCAGTTTGATTACAGGATTCCAGCCTTAGGTCTGGAAACGTGTAGCACTGGTGCAGGCAACGTTAACACCGTCTTTGGTTATGCCACAGTTCGATTACAGGATTCCAGCCTTGGGTCTGGAAACGTGTAGCGCCGGTGCAGGCACGGTGGAGAACGCGTTGCAAATGAATGGACTCCCAATCAGCATATACGCACCCGAGACGGTGGGTTGTGCGGTGGTGGACGGGCAGGGGCGATGTGCAGCAGCCACTTCTATGGGGGTATCATGAACAAGTCCGGCCGCATCGGTGATTCCCCCTTGATAGGTGCAGGGACCTATGCCTGTGATATCTGCGCTGTGTCATGCACTGGAGAGGGCGAGGCCATTATACGTGCCACTCTGGCCAGATATGTAGCGGCTGTGATGGAGTACAAAGGCCTGGAGTTCCAAGACGCGGTGGATTATGTGATCAAGAAAAGGCTGGACGAGGGAAAAAGCGAGGATGATCGCAGTCTCCAGAAATGGGGAGGTGGCTTACGGGTTCAAGGTCAACACTACGGGAATGTTTAGGGGGTGTGCCACCGAGGATGGGTTTATGGAAGTTGGTATTTGGGAGTAGTTTTTCTTCTTTTCTTCTTTTTGTTTTTTATTAGGAAGTTGGATGCAGACGAGTGTTAAAAATGTAAAACACTCCTTCCTACGTGTTCTTGATAGCCTATTCTATCATATCCCTCCGTGGCACCGTCTTTGCCTACTTGTAATACTTTCCGCCCTATGTGATGATCTCTTGTAATACTTTGCCCTCTGTGGTGCCTTTTCCGAGGAATGATCCGTTTTTCAAGGGGCTATACGTTTCCAGACCTAAAGCAAGCATTTTCCACTGGAATGATCCGACACGCTTGGCAACGTTAACTGACCATCCAAGGAAGATGTCGGCGATGATGCACAGTGGAGGCTGGCGTCTTGCTGTGTGATGGTGGAGACAAGGTTGTGGAAGGAAGGCTCAAGGGTTTGTGAGGCACAGAAGAGCAGTAGAGTTTGCTGGGCGATGATGCACAGTAGAGTTTTCTCCTGTTTTCGGAAGAGCAGAAGAAATTCCAGTGCAGTGCAGTATCCCAAAGAACAACAACAAAAAGGTAATGGTGTGTGAGAAGAACCAAGCAGAAGTGCTTGAAACGGTTTCTCCGTCAAAGAGAAGAAGCTAGACGATGAATAGGCGGCACTGCTGGTCTAGTTTTATGGGATGTTTGATAAAGAAAATTAAATGACACTTGAAAGGCATTTTTGTCTTTTTACATACCACTTAACAACTGGTTAACGTCAGGTACTAAATCATCGTAAAATGAAAATTCAGATACTAGATTATCACATTTTAAAGTTCAARTACTAAATTAGCACTCAACCTAAAATATAGGGTAACTATCGGAAATTTTCTCATATTTTTACAATATCTTTTTGTATGATAACGGTTAAAATTTGGGTACAATGTAAGTGTATCCCATTTGAATCCTGCACGTTCTAAGTCCGAAGTGACACGGGCTAAATGGGTTGGGCAGGGAAGTGATTGGGCTGCATGAGTCCAGTGTTGTTACTCAAATCTCAAAATGGACCATTCAACGGAAAGACCCGATAAATTTGGGCCACGTATATTCTTTGAATTTCTCTTCAAATATCAACATTTTTTTTTTTGAAAATCAAATATCAACGGTTCAAATATGGAGTGCATCCGATTAAATCCTGTAGAGTGTAAAACCTTGCAGGGTGTTGTTACGTGTTATAAAGGGATTGCAATCATCTCCACTCGTTAAGAAAAAAAATTTGATCCGTATAGAGTTTGCTGCTCAAGCACTTTTCACATCAATCTCATAATCAATGTTTTTGAATCGCCGTTCATTTGGACAATTGGACCGTTTGGCCCATGAAGCATTTAGGCAATCGGTTCCGTTTTACCTCAAACTGACCTAGATAGTCAAATCATCAACCTCGATCTGTTCAATGGTTTTTGACCTTTTTTAATTTTAATTATTGTTTTTTATTTTTTATTTTTATTTTTTGTTAGAATGGGCTGTCCATTCGAATCGGGCAGTTGAACCATCAACCCAGAAACTAGTGGCCATAACGACTTCGATTCCGGTTCTGGGTCATTTTTTAAAACATTGGTCATATACATTCCAATCACACATCAAGAACATCTCCCGTACTTGTGTGTTTTTATTCATGGGAGATGATCCCAATATATGGTGGGATGTGTTGTGAGTGTGAAGTGCACTAATTGGTTATTGGATAAGGACCTCTTGTTTTAGGGTTTGAAAGAATATCTATAGCGAAATTTGTTTTAGCCAGGTGGACACTATTTACAATCTTGGCTTTTGTGTTAGCTTTTATATGTTTGGTTCCATGGACGTTTATTGAAAAAATGCCGCCACATCAATGCCACATAGGCATTGGTGTTTATTGCATATGAAACCATTGTTTGGTTTCACTGTTTATCAAATAAACACTAGAAAATTGAAATACTTTTATGTGCATGGAGCATTTGGAGAAACGTAGAATTCATGTTTCCCCCAATGCTTGGGCATTTCTTGAAATTAAATGTTGATGTGGCAAACTTTATCTGAGGTGGAAAGCAACTTTATGGAGTGTTACTTGAAACGCCCATAAGATGTCCAACCAAATAGAAAAAGCAAAAAGCATTTAGGCGGTGTTTTGTATGGTTTTCATTTATTTGATAAACAATGTTGTGTCATTGTCAAATCAACATTTATTCCATCATGTTGGTTTATACACATAGGTATTGATTTATGTGTACACCAACCATTAGGGGATACTTCATTTTAATGCTTCTCCCAACGTCGAGTTATTTATTGTTTCTCTGATGTCASTGGCATTTAATTGTCAATAAATGATTTATCAAATAATTTTCTCGATTTTGAAGACAGATCAAATATAAATATTTACTTAATAAATGAAAATCATACCAAACACATATTTAAATAGCATTTTTCAGATAAGCGTTTTTACGCTCCGAGTTCGGAAGTCCCCTGAATAAATCTTATCAAATAATTTTCGACCTTTTGGAACAGGAGGGTCCCGCTGGCTTATGGGAGACGGGAACTTTAGTTTTTTTTTTTTTTTTTTTCAATAATATCAGGATAACAAAAGAAGGGGAAAGAAAAATATCCCAGCTGATGGGAAGATTTTAATGCTTAGCTTCTCCTCCACCACACACCGGAGTGGAGTCAAAGAGCACTGAACCTTATCTAGTCAGAATTCAGAAATATCTTGCGGTCATATCTGTAATAACTCACAACTACCACGTTTATAAATCGAATAATCTCACTTCTCTCAGGTATACTGAGAATCTCATCATCAAATTATAGAAGCCATCAAAATGCAGGCATCTCTCTGCTTTACACCGTCCGTCCCAACTCTGCCACCTACCAGGACCACTGCTGCTACAACTTGGAGATCTCCTGCAAAGCTAGGGCAAGGTCTTGTTTCCCGATGTCCACCGATCAAAGCAACTGCAGTGGCCTACGAAGTTTCTACGGTTGATTACAGTTCCATGACCTCGTAAGTATGCTGTCGGCTTTGGTTTCCTCACTTGATCTTTCGACGAACTCATGATTCATGAATACTGAAGTGAAGTGGACTGTATATATTTTATGTTTTTTTCAGAGTGTTTCCCGCAGAAGCCTGTGAAACAATTGGTGGAGAAGCCTGTGACGTAGAAATGTATCCGGAAGTGAAACTCAAGCCGGAGGCCAGAAGCGGCGCAGCGAGGATAATCTCAGAGTTGATCGATAGGGAGTATCTCGAGTATAACGATAATGCAAAGACGTAAGCTGCTCGTCTCTGTTTTTAATTATGACCTAACGCTTTAGATATATGCTCATTTCATGAATCATGATCATTGTTATTGCTATTATTTATTACAGGGTGTTTCCAGGAGAAGCTTGTGACGATCTTGGAGGAGAATTCTGTGAGGCAGACTATCAAAAGGGGGTTTACTAGGGGAAGTCTAATCGAAAGATAAAACATGAGGATCGATCTCTCTCGTAGACTTTTGCTTCTGTTTGTAAATGCTTAATATATGTGGTTTAATACTAAATCATCGCAGTTTAAGCCTTTATGTGATGAAAGTTATATATACGAGTCCACTGAGCAAAAACCTAGGTTTCTGACGTTAGTCATGGTTAGCCTTTAATATCGCTTAATTTGGTCTCGGTTAGATGGCTCCAAACTTCATTCAACGAGGGTGGGTTTCAATGTTTCATCTGACTGGGTTCTGGTTCTACGCTTCACATCCATACGGCTAAACCGCACCTTCACCTTTCGTAGTCATACGCGGATTGCCAAATCATAATCAGGACAGCCAAGAACGAACCTCTGTTGAATCGGCAACCACGATTTAATATATTTCATTTGTATAACTATGTTAAAAAAAAAATCACCGATTTCCTCTTTGCCTCTTGATCTGGTATTCTGGTGGCCAAATTCAATTTACTTAGTCTTAAGTATCTGAATCACGGACTATTGAAAAGGCAATTTTGAGGGACATGTCACCGTATCGGGATACTTGATTAAAAAAAGAAATTGTAAATTTAAGATGCGTATAAATATATGAAAAATATAAATAAATGTTAAAAATACATCAATAATACAAAATCCAAGAGCCCAAATCTGCTACTTGTCAAACTATACCATAACCCTGACATATTCACTTGTGATTGCTTACATGGCCCATTACACACGGCAGGGCAATCCCAAGTGATATCTAGGTCTTAGATGGCTATAAATAAGGTATTGAAATATAAAAAAAAATACTCATAAATATATAAAGTATAGAATATAAATATATAAGTTTTAATAATTATTTTTTCTAAATTTATTGATTAGCATGACTAAGACAAGAAAATGTAAGTTAAAATTTAAAACTCGCATAATTCACTTTACATTGGTTCTTTATTTTTGGCGAAGACAGTGAAGTCAAAATATTACATTGGTGCAGTTCCCATTATTCTAGATTCTAGATCAAGTGGATTATCTGATTTATGTAAATTAAATCAAAGCCCTCAAATAAGAGGGCTTCTCCTTCAAACACGTGGCTTGCTTCTGTTCAAAAAATGGGATAAATACGTTTAATTCAATAAAATAATAGGGCAGGTCCTACTTTTGTTCTCAGATCATGTTGACTCCTAATTCAAAGTTAGCTCAAATAAAAACACTAATATAAAGGATATTACATTGCTGTAGCCTTTATGGTCCACTTAATTTAAATAAGCGTAAATTTCTTAAACTATTCCTACTGTTTGTAAAATTGATTAATTGCATCCTTATTGTTTACATATTGTCTTAAAGTAACTTTATTATTTTTAAAAATTGATATCACCATTAAGTGTTAAAAGCCTAACAGAAAGAAACAAAATATTGAATTTGCCCTCCACTATTCCTTAAATTTTTAAAATAAAACCCAATGATGAAAAAATACTTCTTGCCAAGTACCCGTTCAGATTTTCACTTCAGATTTTCTCTTCTGATTGCTTTACCACTACTCCCGAGATGAAAGCTCCAGTTGAAGTGGCTGCAGCTGCATGCAAGTAAGTTCCTTTCTAGGTACTAGTTCAAAACTCCACAATGTGCCCATCCAGGCAGAAGGTCCATTTGGGCATTATCTTGATAAGGAGGAAGACAGTCTTCATTTTCAAGGACAAGGCACAGGTGCTGATCAATCACTTCGTGTTGATGAACCACCCAAGTTGGAAAAATGGAATGCTTCTGGGGGTGAACGGGATTGGTGAGCTACTAAAACAAGGGAAGCTCAAGGGTCTAAATTAGTTTTCAACCCATCAAAATCTCAATTTGAAATCTTAAATTTTCATGTCATGAAAGTAATGGCATGTGACATCTGAAAGAAAACAAAATCGAAGCTCGCCAGATGGAAATTCTAGTTGAAAGAAAAAGAAATTCGCAGAATGGAATTACATGTGAAATCCTCGATGTTGTAAATTGCATGTGAAATTATCTTTTTTTGGAATTACAAGTTGTGAATAAAGTAAACAACATGTCGAGAAAGAAAGAGGAGAGATTGGAGAGGAGAGAGATGAGAAGGAGCGGATGAGCAATGTGCGAATTAGTTGACCTGAGCACGACTCAAAGTCTTCGGTTGCTGAAGCTGAGGCTCAATGCTCATCAAGCACCCATTGGGCGGCGTGGCTGTTGCATTTGTAGAGGGAGTAGTAGCCATGCTGTTGCCTTTGGTGGAATTAAACACTTCCGGAAGCCGAGGCTCATCACCAATAATGCCGTCGTCGTCATCGACGAGTACCGAAGAAGCTGTTCGAGCTATCATCAGAGGCGAAGCCTCATTGGATGTAGCCAACTGGCAGCGGTGGTGTGAGTTGGTTTCGCACGACTTTAGAGAAGCTGCCGGTTTCACCAGATTTTCTCGCTCTCTGGATGTTATCTTCTCCAGCTCTCTCCTCTATTGCTCCTGTTCTCGTTCTCGCTGGTCTTTCGCGTCATTATCTGCCTCAGGAAGTCCTCCAACTTCAGTTCCGACGTGCTCCACTTCATGTTGCCGCCGAAGTTAGAGGAATAATTCAGTTTCTGTGGGCGAGTTGGGTCGCAGAAGATCAGTTCGTCGAATGTTTTTTGATCCATTGTGTTCGATAGATCGAGAGAGATGAAAGCAGTTATAAGTAAAAACCGAAAAAGCAAAAGCACAGGGATTCGCAAGCAATGAATTCTCTGTTCGCTCTATGCAGCAAGGAGAACAGAGCATGCTGCATGTTGACCTTTCGCCCTTGGACAACAGTGGTGGCCGAGGGTTTTTGGACAACAGGGTATTTTCGGAATTTTTTAAAAAAACATCGGTCATGTGATGTCATATGTGACTGAGTGTGATAGAAAATTAATGACAGGGAAAGTTTTGACCAATTGTCAGAAAACTTAAGGGTACTCTTAAGACAATAATTAAAGAGTAAGGGTAGAGTTAGTCAATTAGCTCAATAATAGGGGTAAGTTAAGAAATTTACCCTTTAGATAAATTGAATTATTTAATTACAAATCAAGCCTGAATTAGCATCCTACGAACGGATCATACAGCAGTACTACGAATCAAAGCAGCCTGGTATAGGACTCAATGTCTCATATGGCAGAAAAAACCCAGAATTACGGCAAACGGAAGCAGAGATCCTGAGCTCCAAGCCCTCTACGAAGGATTACTAATGGCCAAAGACCAGAGCTTGGATGATGTTTTGCTCCAGTCAGATGCAAAAGAAATAGTAGAAAGAATACATATAAGAAACAAGCTTACGGCATGTGGCAGGAATTTTTGCTTTTCTACCAGATCTTAGACATTATGAAGTCCTTTGATAATATTGTAATACAGCTTATATGTATAACAGACAATCAAATAGCACATCAGCTAGCTTATCAGAGGCATGTCATCATGCAGTGATACGTAAATATCCTACACTTATGTACTACCATCTGAGCTGTTTTTGCTAAACCAAACAAAAACTACCGAGTAATAAGTCATTAACTAGTATTAGTTTCACTGCAAATTAAACCTAATTTTGTCTTGTACATTAAATTAAAAACGCGAGACTAAATACTTCAAGACGTGCTGCTTGGATAGTGGATCTCAAACAAAAACATAAAGATTTTAAGTTTCCCTGCAACAAGAAAACAAGATCATAGATGCTATGCTTAAAATTAGCCTAAACTGCAGAGTCTGTACTCTATTCTTGGGACAAATTAGGAAGTGCTCATAAGGTCATGACAACCCTCACTGATACACTAGACAAGCTGATTCTACCGAGCCTAATCCAAGGAATGGAAAGCATATAAGTGAAATCAAGAGTGAATTTGGTAGAACTCATGAACCGTTACCCTCTTTCTTTCGATTAACCACAGAAGTGGAATCAAGAGTTCAGAATAATAGAATTGCTGTCGATAGCCTTTCTTTTCTTCTAAAATGTGGCATCTGACATGACTGGGAGCATGTTCTGCCATCAAAAGGTTCTTATGGATTAGTAGGCAGAACTACTACTGGGGTTTTCTGTGTTGTTGTGGGTACCCAAGTACAGATTTGCGGAGGAGTTTTGGAAGCAGAGATTATTGCAATGCTGTCTGCAGTTCCATTGGCTTGGGATCAAGGCTGGCAGATTTTGTTGGTCAGTTTTCTGCTTTGAATGGTTCTAAAGAATCTTTTCCTTGGGTTCTGTTGGAGTTTTGTGGATAAAATCAAACAATTATCCTCAACGCTAGAGTATGTTGGTTTTAGAAATGTTAATAGGAGGTTTAATAGAAATGTTCACGAGATAGATCAAAGAGCAAATATATCTAATTCTCTTTCTGTTAGGTGGACTCGTCCACCTAGTTGGCTTCAATAATCTATAAACTCGGATGTATCTTTTGATTTTGGTTAATATACATATGTTATTTTAAACGTCAAAAGAAATAGGTTCGATGTAACAAAGTATATAATTTTCATTTCCTTGTTTATATAAAATGTGGGCACCATGTCAAACAGATTAACTTGCGGTTTAATTAACACCACTTGGAATGGGTTTTATTCAGTTTCAATATAGGTACAATCTTAGTTTTAGTTTCGTTTCAATTTAGTGATATAGTTGAAATATGCCTCTTAATGAATATGCACATTGCATAAAGCTGGATGAACTTGTTAATTGCTCAAAACCACCTTATAACTAAATCTTTTCTACAAAATTGAACAGACCCATATGCTGAAAAGAAAAATCAAAGCAGAGGATAACATCATTCTCATCAAAACAAAGACATGATTCTTTCAAGTTCCATTTCTGGCGAGTAACATGAACCGTAAAAATAACAAACGGCGAAAGAAAAGAAAAAAGAACTCCATATGTTTAGTAGATTAAAAGAAAAACAAACAAAATCAACAAAATTTCAACCTACTTCTTCTTAAGCAACTCGTCAGGGACCACCTTCAGAAGCTTCTTCTCCTTCGACTTAGCAATCTTCTTCAACGTCTTCGGATTAGTAATCTTCTGAAGCTTTGTCCCCGACCTCAATATATTCTCCTGCTTCTTCTTCTCCCTCTCCTCCCTTTTCTTCCTCTTCTCCACCTTGTTCAACCGTATTTCCTCCTTCAATTCGGTCATTCGTTCCCTGTAAGCCTTTTTGATCTCTTTCTCCTTCATCCTTTGCTCGAACGACGGTCCCTTTCGAGTGACCTTAAGGGCGGAAGCTCGGTGTTTTCGAGGCTCCTTCCATTTCCTGCCGGAAACTCTTCCAGCGATTACGCCGTCGTAGGTAGGCTTTCCAAATACGGGTTTCTCGGGATTCTCAGAGGAAGGAAGGGCAGGCCTTTTGGAGGGAGGTAAGATGACTTCATTGTTGGTGCCGTCGAGGTCCATTGAAGAACTCCGAATCTCTTCATCTTCTGCAGATCTCTTGCGCTTGTTCTTTTGACCGCCAAGACCTTCGTCTAAGAACCTGAAATCTAGCGTACAGGCCATTGTTGCCTGAGCTTGACGAACGAACAAGACGGAGCTTGGAGACGGAGAGAGAGAGGCGGGGGTTATTTAGGCCTAGGGTTTTATATTTCCCGCAAATGACAGAAGCAGGGTATATCGGGCGGCTAGAAATAGAATTGGTTCATTGGTTGGGTTGGATAATAAAGTGGTAATAAGACAACTCTTGCCGGTTTGGGTCGAGTTGACCCAACCAAACCAACCTGAATCGGACAGGAAAGGGTTCAGACGTTGAACTTCGATTGAGCCAAGATTGGTATGAAAGTGCTGTAACATAATAAGAAAATAATATTTCAATTAAAAAAATAAAAGAATACCTTGCAAGTTGCAACCTATTGCCGAAAAGAAAAGAAAAAAACAGAAATACAAAGTTATATTTAATTCCTAATTCCTATTACCATTAGTGTGTCGCAATTTGGCAGGCTGACCTGAGCCCGGCCGAACCAACCGTGTTATGTATCAGTATCATCAGTGTTCAAAACCGTATGGGAGTTGTAGCCTGGTAGTTGTAGGATTGAAGTTGTAGTTTGCGCACCATCATATGATGGTGGTAGACCGGTAGAAATATCAATGTTTAAGAAGTTGATCTCTTTCGATATTTATATGTGTTGTGATAATTGAGTAATGGTTTTGGCCAGATGACTTTTAAAGAGAAACTATCTGGACCCGTGCGATGCACGAGAAAATATGAAAGATTTAATAATTTTATTTTTTATTTAATGTTGATTTATAAAAATAATAATTGTTAATTGAATATGAACAAATATTTTTTAATAAATTTAGTTTTATTAATAATTTGTAGTAATTTTAATAATTTTTAAATAAAATTTTGATTAACTTTAAATAAATAAAAATAATTATAAAAGCTAACATTTTTATTAATTTCACTAATAATTAACAATTATATAGGAATGACAACGGGGTGGGTTCAGGGCAGGGCACCTCATTCCTTTCCTTACCCCATAGTCAAGACACTCTACCCCATCCCTTCCATGTCCCTAGTGTTAAACGGGTTCAAGACAAGGTAACCACTCCTCAATGTCAAGCGAGTTTAGGGGCAAGGCACTCCACTCCTCATCAAGGATGGAGAATCCTCGAATTTTCCTGCCTCGTCCCTAGTACTGGGAGGGTTCAAGTTGAGGTGTAAATTGGGACGTGCTGGATCGGCACGACACGACCCGCATGTGGCCCGCACAAAGTGCGAGTCGTGCCAAGCTGACCTACGAGGCATCCCGACCCACAGCTTGAGCCCGCACAGGCCCGTGCCGTGGCATGGGTTGGGCTGGTCCATGGACTGGGCCTTGGACCAGGCCATGCTGCACACCAAGCTAAGCTCAAGGCGAGGCACCCACTCCTCGTCTAAGGTTTTTAAAATTGAACCAAATATGGAATCATTCTAGGGTCGAATAGTTCGACTGTTCGTCCGAACAGATGACCCACTCTTACAAAAAAATTAGAAAAACAAAAAAAAGGACAAAAACTGTTCTCTGGGTTGATAATTTGACCGCCTAGGTCAGCAATTCACTAACCAAATAAACAGTTTTTGGACAAAAAGCAGTTTTGAGGTGAAACGATGTCCGATTCCCAATTTTTTTGGTCTAACCATCTGGTTTGATCTAGTTTTAAAAATATTGTCCCCATCAACCCAATATTCAATTTGATGATAGAAATGATCAAAATGATATATTGAGTATCAACCACATGGTAGATTTCGAAAATTACACTAAATTGTCTTTAATATTCAAAAATGTAATTTTATTAAAATTTTGGAAAATTTATTGTACTTGTAATTTTAAAAATTTATTCATTTTTTATAAAATAATTAATTTACTTTTTAAATGGTTTACTTACAAAATTATACTAATTTATCTTATAATTTCTAATATAAACTATCCTCCTTTTTCCAATATTATACTAATTTATCTTAATAGTTTGTGTAATTATTTGTTCAAATTATAGTTTTCCATTTCCCATAGTCATTTATCTTTAATAATTTTCAATGAAAATTGATGAATCAATTTTTGGTGATGGCCAATTTTTTGTGCTAAGTACCTCGTCATTTGGTCTGCTTCCAAGTGGCCGATGACTCAGGCTGAAGTGGAGAACTTTGGCTGTCGAGCTTAGTCGAGCTGGGCAGGCTAGGTGGTAAGCTGACTATAGTGTCGAGCTGCATGTGAGGTGCCGGGCTGACCAGGTGTCGAGCTGCCTGTGAAGTGTCGGGCTAACTGGGTGCCGAGCTGCCTGTGAGGTGCCAAAGTCTTTTATCAGTTCACCAGTTCGCGCCTGGGCCAAGCCGCCAAAATTTTGCTCAAACTTGGAAAATTTTGAAACTTTAAAGTACTGAATTGTAACATTTTGAAAGTTTGGATACTGAATTGTTGCATTTTAAAGTTTTGGAACCAAAGTGGCACTTGACCTAAAGTACAGGGTACTAATCAGGAATTTTCCCTTTCTTTTATGTTAGAAACTTTTATCTTGATATTAGGTTTAAAGTTTCTTACTGGTTACTATAGTCTCAACGACAATAAGTGAAAAAAAAAGTATAATTGTTTAATTTTGGAACTAAAATACAATAATTATGCCCAAAATCTTGGCCCGGCCCGACCCAAACCCATGTAGGATTGGGCCCGGGCTTATATTTTTAGGCCCATAATGCGGGTTGGGTTAGGCTTTGTCCTAGTCTAAGCCCGTTGTTATGAAGGCAAAGCCTGACCCGGTCCAGCCCATGATTAGGGTTGGCAATCTTGACCCCAATTTGAAACCCACCCATACCCACCCAATCTATTGGTGGGTCAATATGGGTCAAGCAACCCATTAGGGTCGGTAGAAAAGGGTTATGGTGGGTTGGGTCGAGGGTACCCATTAGGGTCAGGATGGGTTGGGTTGCGCGAATCAAGATGGGTTGTGTCACTCTATCTATACTTGCCAAATCTCAAAAAATAGAAGTTGTAGAGATTCAAGCCCAAGCCTTAATACTAACATTTCATAACAGTTCCAAACCACTGTACCACATCTCGTTTTGAGAATAAAACTGGAATAAAATAAATTTACGTAATTTCGTGTTCACATGCAATTTTATACAAAAACACTTTTACAAAAGCAATTTTATAAAGTAATTTTATGAAAATGACTTTTATGAAAGCACTTTTACACGAAAGTACATTTATAAAAGTACTTTTACAAAAGCACTTTATGAAAGTATTTTTACGAAAACACTTTTATGAAAGCATAAAAACACTTTTATAAAAAATATTTTTATGAAAGCACTTTTACAAAAGTACTTTTATGAAAGCATAAAAGTACATTTACAAAAGTACTTTTGTATTTTTATGTAAGTACTTTTACATAAAAGCACTTTTATAAAATTACTCTTATGAAAGCATAAAAGCACTTTTATAAAAGTACTTTTATGAACGCATAAAGCATTTTTTAAAAGTGCTTTTATGAAAGTACTTTTATGAAAGCGCTTTTATAGAAGTACTTTCATAAAAGTACTTTTGTGAAAGAACATTTATAAAAGTAATGCATTATTTTGCATTTTCTGTTATTTCCTGCATTTTTTGTATTTTCTGCATGTTTGCATTTTTTTGGTATTTTTCTACATTTTCTAAAAGTTTTTGGTATTTTTCTGCAAATTCTACGAATTTTTGGTGCTTTTTTTCATAATATTTGCATTTTTTTGGTGTTTTCATGCATTCCCTACAATTTTCTGTTTTTTTTTTTGCATATTTTCTAATTTTTTCTGCAAAATTTATGAATTTTCTAATTTTTTTAATATTTTTCATATTTTTTGTATTTTTCTACAATTTTTTTGGTACTTTTTTTTTGCATTTTTTGTAATTTTTCTTCAAATTTATGCATTTATCTACAAATTTTGAATTTTCAAGTATACAGGTTGACTTGACTCGTTTTTGTCACGTGGCAGTCTTGAGAGAGATTAATCTCTCAAAATTTATTATTTTGCGTATACGGGCCATCCCGGCCCATTTTTGTATCTATAAGTGTGGGTAGGTGGGTTAGTACGGGTGAGGGTGGTTAAAGGTCAATATGGATGGGTCAAGTGGGTCAATATGGGTGGGTCAGGGTTAGGGTGAGTTATGACCCTTTAACTATGATTGGTGATGGCTCATGGTGGGTTGGTGGGTCAGTATGGGTGGGTTGATATTCAACCCTTACCCAACCCACCCATTTGCCACCCCTACCCATGATCACCCCTAGGGGAAGTCCCTCTTCATAGGGGCAAAATACAAAAATGTCATTTTAAGATACAATAATAAGTTAGGTTATATTTTTTAAATAAAATAACTATAACTATATTATTATAAATAAAAAATAACTGTAGTGRGCTCTAATTTGGTTTAGGGTTGTCAATAAGTTAAGACTAAGTAGAACCAATCTTGAATCAATTATTTAATTGAGATCAAATCATAGACTTGATTATATTGAAAATAATAGTTAAAATAATACTAATTTATTTTTATGTTAATAAGTTAAAACATTTTTAACTAATATTATCTTATTTATTATTTATCAAATTTACTATTTCCAACATGAAACATGACAAAAATTACAATAAAGCAAAAATTATATATTTCATAAAATATTTGGTTTCGGACTTGAATCAATTCTAGACAGATAAGAATGAGAATCAACCCAATAATTAATAAAGACAAAATCATGGAACCAAAACTGTTATAATTATGTTCAGTCAATTTAGCTCCATGAAGATAGACCCAATCCATTGGTTCAGCCCTACTTTTTCTTAAATAAGCTAACGTTTATATAATAACTTATTAAATTGAATAAAATAAATAAATAAAAGTTTATTGGGATGGGACAGTTATAGGCTATCTCAAACTAGACCCAACCCGTTGACAACCCTAAATATGGGCTCAAGGGGAGAAAATAATTTGTTAGTAAATTATTTCTAAATAAATAAATAATTTAGTAAAATAAATAAATAAATAAATAAATAAAATGTTTATTAAAATCTTTCTCTCAATTTCACATCTAAATAAATGTTTAGATAATAATAAAATAAATAAATGAATAAATAAAAAATGAGATAGAGAATAGAGGGGAGAGAGAGAGAATAGAAAGA